TGCACCATGCAGATCTGCCTTCAAGAAGGAATGGTTTCAGCCAGGCTTGGTGGCTCAGCCTGTAATCCCAGCACTTTGGGAGGCCGAGGTGAGTGGATTGTCCAAGCCTGCAGGTTCGAGACCAACCTGGGCAACTTGGCAAGACCTTGTCGCTAAATAAATCAAAAAATTAGCTGGGCATGGTAGTGTGTGCTGCGCCTGTAGTTCCAGCTACTTGGAAGGCTGAGGTAGAAGGATCACCTGATCCCAGTGAGTCGATGCTGGGGTGGCCATGAGCGTGCCACTGCACTCCAGCCTGGGCAACAGAATGAGACTCCAACTCAAAAAAAAAAAAAAAGAAGAAATTGTTTCCAGCTACTGAGAAGTATTGGTTAGCTGGCAGCTTCCAACTGTTGGCTCCTTCAGTTCCAACATCAGTGTTCAAGCTGAGGTTATATTCTTGTTGCATTCCCAATCAATGACTGAGAAAAGTGTCGGTAAAATGCCCTGGCCATTTCTGCCTAAGGCAGAAGGACTGTCAGGTCTCTGGCAGGGCCTGATGCCCCTTCTGCCTAATTCCACTTCTTCCCTCTTTCACAGGTGTTACTTCCAAAAAAACTTTGTGCACTTCCAATTCTGTCTTGGCATCTGCTTCATGGAGAACTGAACCTGTGACATTGATGCCTTGGATAATTTACTAGTCCTCTGTAACGGATTGTTTTGCTTTATTGCATAATCTACCATGGAGAGTCCAGATACTTCTGTAGTGCAGTTGTTTCTGCCACTTATCCACTGATTGAATAATGTCTCAGCTCCTAGATCTAGCTCATTAAGGTGATTACATCTAAGGCTATACTTGCATTCTCCCTGAAAATGGTAGTATTATCCATAGCAGAATCTTTAAAACTGATGAAGTGATGGAGAACAAGCAATGGTGTTCCTGAAGACTTTTCCTAAACAGTAAAGACATTAACAACAAAAAGATCCCCAAGTACCCCACATCTGGAAGTCTACCTTGGAAGTTATGGCCTTGGAATCTTCATTCTCGAACATCTAGGTTAACTTTCATAAAATGAGTTGCTCATGCAGGCTATTAATTTTGCATTTTTGAAATTCAATTTTTTGAAAACCTGATGAACTATTTCTAAAAATTTTCATATTTGTTAGTATCATGGTAATAATTACTTAACCTCAAGCATTAGGAGTTTAAATTGTAGAACAAATGCTTTGTAATCCGTGTTTTTAAATAATTAACATTTGCCTGTTATATTTTATTTCTTTCTGTGCTGGCCTTACTTGTTCTATATTCTGGGTTTGGGCTAATACTGATAAACATGGATTAATTATGAGAAATATGGCATTGGCTCTTTGAAACCACATTGAATGACACCTATTAATGTTCGTTCACTAACTATTTTCTAGATCTATGAGCACAATACAAAAAAAAGTTCATATCAGGCAACCGTCTCGGGTCCCCTCCCGCTCTGGGGGCTTTACTGTCCTCTCAATAAACTTGCTTTCCAAAACAAACAAACAAAAATGTTCATCTCCAAAATGTAAATAAAGACATAAAGGTATTTTCTAAAAACAACTTATCTGTAGCCAAGGAGTTTGTAATAGCTACTTTTAAGCAGACTAACATAATAAAAAAAACTCATAATTGGCTTTATTCTAACATCCTTGCTAGTACATTAGCAATAAAGTTGGGAAAAAAAGAGGGGAGAGAGGACAGACATACTATATTCCATATTCATCAATAAGCACCAAGTAGTTCCTCTGGAAGAGCTTTCACTTGTAGGCAAGAACTAGCTCTGATTAAAGCTTACTGTAGACAATAAGCACACAATTTCAGGGTGATAAATCCACCACTTTTCAAGGGCACTTGGCTAAAACAAGTGCTCACACATTGTTAAGGATAAATAATATACACATACATATGTGTGTGTGTATACCTTCTGCTGCAGAAGTAAAATCTCACTTAACAATAATGAGAAATTACAGGTTCCAGAGGAAAGTCTTTGTGTGGCTCACCAAATCTGTAATGTGCTGAATTCAAGTGCCTAGATTTGCATGCCTACTTGGGAAGAACACCAAATTGGTTGCACTAACCAGGAAACGTATCAAGCTCAAGATCAGTAAAGTTTTTCACTTTTCAGGGATGTGACAAATAATAAGCCAGAAAAAAAATTCTCATTTTATATAACTTCAATTTGGTAACATCTATCAAAACTACAAATACTTTGACCTTTTAATCCAGCAATCTCACTTCTGGAAATGTATTCTTCAGATACATTTCAAACACGTAAAGGAACATATGTTGTTTACTGCAGCAAATCAAAAATAGTAAAAAAAGAAAAAAAGATTGAGAGAGAGAGAAACTCAAATGCCAATGAATAGGGTATTGGTTAAATAAATTATAGTTCATCTATAAAAGGAATATTTATACTGTAAGCATAGGGTAAGATGATTCCCTATGTGCTATTATAAAGTCATTTCCAAGATATATTTTAAGCAAGGTACATAATAGTGTATAATATGCTGATTTTGCTGTATAAAAGAGGAATGATCAGAATATATATTCTTGTTTGCTATTATTTGTGTAAACTCTGGAAGGACACACAAGAAACTAATAACAGTGGATTACAGGCATTAGAATAAAATGTTTTAATATATACCTCCTTCAAGTTGTTTGAGTTTTGAACCATGTGAATATTATCCATTTAAAAATTAAATTTTAATGATTTCTTTAAAAAACTTCTTTTTGCCAGGCGCGGTGGCTCAAGCCTGTAAATCCCAGCACTTTGGGAGGCCGAGGTGAGAGGCCTGAGTCCATGGGTTCAAGAACAGCCTGGACAACTTGGCGAGAACTCATCTCTACAACGAATAAAAAAATTAGCAGGGTGTGGTAGCACACACCTGTAGTTCCGGCTACTTGGAAGGCTGAGGTGAAAGGATTGCCTGAGCCCAGCAGGTCAATGCTGGGGTGGCCATAAGCATGCTACTGCACTCCAGCGTGGGCGAAGAGTGAGATTCCAACTCAAAACAACGATGACAAAAAAACTTTTTGTAAACAAATTGAAATTGAAAGCAACAAAATTTTGACACAATCAAGACAGTTCATTACTGCCCTAGTTGTATTCCCTAACAGTGAAGTAAAGTTTGTATCTGCCCTCAAGTTTATCTGATATTTCAGAAAACATTTTTCTCTTTAGTCTGTACTTTTTGATATATGCTTTCCCTAGTTCCATTCTTATTTAACACCTTAATTGTATTACTTAGAGTGACTAAGACGCATTCACAGATGAAGAGTCTGAAAGATTCAACAAAGCGAAACTGTACTGTAGTTTTTTTGGCAGATCTAGAAATTGCAGACCATAATAGATAACCTGTCACCTCTATTTTTAAGGCATTATTTATATTCTTCAAAAGGCTCCCTCTTGAATTTTAAGCGGGACCGTCACAACAGCCAAATCCTTTCCTATAACGAAAACTTTGACAAAGGTTCCTGAATTACAAACTTATTTTTTCCTCTATAAACATCAACTTTAAGTTCATTTGGAACACTATGCTTCCTTGATGAAAGTCTGAGTTGGAACTGAGTGGTCGCTCTCACCTTTGGCTATCTACTGAAACCTGGTTAGGGCTTTAGAAGACCCCAAAGTTGAAAGCCAATTTATCAGTCTTATTGCATCATGTTACTGTTTCATTTGTTCTTATCAATAGCATGCAGCACAAGTGTCCAATATGGCATTTCAGAGGAGCAGTGAGGACACTGGATGCGTACCAACTGCAATTTCACAATTCTAGAAATGGCACGAGGACAAATTCCAATCTGGATTCACAGCTATCAGTTATATCTGTGATTCTGTTACTGAGAGAATCCATTTACTAAATGGATAGTGGGCAACATCTCATTTTAGTGTTTCAGTGAAAATAAAGACTAACAATACAGGTGTGTGCTGTGGAACAGGTGCGAAGAATCTTAGCAACAAGCACCACAGGATAGCTCTCAGGTGCAGGGATTCTGTATCCAAATACTTGGGTTTGAATCCTGGCCTGTCATTTATTAGCCAGATAACTTTTGGTGTTACTTAACCTATCTGTATATAAGTTTCCTCGCTAGTGAGAAAATGGAGATAACAGTGCCAACCTCAAGAGTGGCTGTAAAGACCAAACAGGAACTTATTTTTCAGAGTAGAGCTGGAAAAAGAAATGTGATTTCAACGGTCAATCTTCATTTTTTTATGCATGCTGATAACTAGGGAAAGTCCCAGCATTTTTCAGTCCAATAGGATTGAGTATCTTGATATATGTCTATCTTGCAAACACTCAGAGCTGCTCACAATAAATAGTAATGAAATAAAAGCACACAGGTTAAAATAACAATTCTTTGAAATATGAATAGGAGACAGAAATAACCTTAACTTTAAACAGATCATGATACTTATGTACTTCTGAAGCATTTAGAGAGGTTAATGGACTCTGTCTCCTAAATATAGAAACAAAGTACAGTCCTTGGACTTTAATTATTGGTACAAGGTCAATTCATAACAGCTTACCAAAAAATTATTGATAAGCAGGTAGGGCTATCTCTAATAAATGTCCAAAACTCTAATACTTCTAGAAAAACTATTTCTCAAAGGAAAAAAGTCACCTTTGAATAGAACTGGAACATTTTTATTTCACCAAAATGAGGTTTTTAATCTTACTCAAAAAGGGTGCTATAAAGTATCTCAAAAGAGAGGCTTTATCCTCAAAGGATAAAAAATGGAGTATAGAAAACATGTCAGAAGCATAACATTTCGCAACAGAAAAGCATTAACACATTTTCTATGAATCTTCGTTTTATAGTTTTCGATTTTGGTGAAATTCCAATTGTGTTTGTTAAAACTGCCAGACTCTTACTAATTTACATCAATCCCCCAGAGAACTCAACCACAGAACCGATGTGCTTTTGGTTACATCAAAGGAGACATATACCTTAATCCCACTTGAGGAAAAAAAAATCAGAACACAAAGAGAAATGGACTTTGATTTTTAATTTTTTTTAAAGATTATCTATATATATTAATAAAAAGTGCAAAGAATAGACCTTCATGTTTAAATTATATTCTAAAATAAAATATATATATTTCCATTAACTGCAGGAGACAACTGGCAAGTAAAGAGCCTGAGAGAGTCCAGTCCCTCTCCATCACTACAATGGACATATATTTTTAGGAAGCACCTATGAAAAATAGTAAAGTGTTCACAACACATCTGGTAACACAGATAGCTTCTGGGTGTTCTTGAAAGCAGTTTGTTTGCATTTTCAATCCTAACATGAAATGAAGGGAAAAACCAAATTCATAAACAGAAATGACATTACCTAGAACAACCTAGTATTCTGTATGCATGTTTTACATGCCCTGGAGCCTAGCATTTCTCAAATAGCAAGCCACACTCACATGTGCATTGGTAAAAGCTATCAGCAGTGTGTTTCAAATGGTGATCAGCTCTCAGTGCAACAAGCATTCCCTGCTCCTATCACTGTTGGGTTAGCAACATAGCTGAAACATCTGGTTAGAATTTATTTTTTTTTAACAGTAAACAAAATTTTAAAAGCATAGCATAGCATTGTAGTATTCAGCCCTGTTACACATAGCTCAGGTTATGCTTTGGGCTAAACTTTCACCAAAGGTCTTACAAAACAAGGTGCTTACACCATCTGCTGCTTTCTTATGTACCGACAGCAATAGTGACAACAGGTCACAGAAACAACAAAAACGTTTAATAATAAAAAAAGACATATGACTCTGGACTTTTTTTTCTTGAAAGTAATCTGGTATATTTTAACAATTCCAATTCAAAAATCTGATTTCTACTGTGGCTTCAGCAGCTATGCGCCCACATGTAGAAAGAATCCCTTGGTTTTGATTTGGCTTTCTTTTATTATTCCTTTCCTTTTTCATAACTGGAAAGAATTTCTATTTTAGAAAAGATATGCTCTATACACTGCGCCTGTAGCAACATATTAATAATACTGACTATGACAGTATTTTGTCTCATAAATGCCAAGGAAATGCTTTTGCTGAATCTGGACAAGTCAATATCAAAATACAGATAAGCTGCAGACAGTCAATTATGGATAACTTGTAGACTCAAAGGTCCATGGTCTGTTCTCTCCTTCCTTTCAACCTGTTATAAAAATAATTTTGGTTACAAGTGTCTACACAGCACCAATTTTATTTCAAAAGCAGCATCTTTACTCTGCCACCCAAATAAGTCTGTATACAAGCTCAAATAGCTTTTTTTCATTTACTTTTGCTTTGTAACTCTAAAAGACCAGAAAGTTTATTAGATTTTTTCTTAATCAAAAATTATTTAGCAATTATTAAAACCATTAGTTACAATGCCCTAAAAATATCCACATCTGCTGAATTAAATGAGAAGTTCCCTTTACATGCAACTGTATAATAAAAGAACTATGCCTGCAGTTGATAAACACTGTTCTGTAATAACAGAAGAAAACAGGTCTCTAATAGTAAAAAAGCATTTCATAAAACTCTGTCATATATAAAATATCTTATTAATTGTGACCATTCCACTTATGATTAAAGCATAACATAAGTGTTTGTTCTGCCTTCTGCTGTGGGATAGTCCAGGGTCATACAACTTCAAAAAATAAGAGTGCATCTGTTTCCCAGGCTGACAAAAGCAACGGGCTCAATTACACTGTTTCTCTCTCAAACTCGTCTGCACTCATGCGTACGCACACAAAGCACCCATAGTTTTAATTTTCATGACACTTGCCACACTTTTTCTCTACTTCCAAAAATCTGTCAGGAAAATGTGTTTGCAACAAAAATTATTCTTGTCTATACCCAGCCTGGATCTCCGTTGCTCATTTTTATGATTGTGAAAGATGAAGTCTGCAGGAGGAGAATAGGCCTCATTCATCTTTCTCAAACCCTTTGGTTTCCACCTTTAATGTTACACTGAATGTAGATTTGATTCAGTAGCCCTGGGTCAAAGGCTGGACAGATACTGAACCTGAAGTGCATTAAGAGAATAAACATCTGCCAGATGGCATAGGAAAATTTAAAAAGTAGCCATAATAAACACAACTCCCTATACATGAAGAATTTACAAGAGTAATCTAAAAATTTCATAAAAAATTAAATTTGTAGGAGGGGTGGAATCATGTAACAAAGGTCAAAAGGTCATATGTCATCAGATAATGATTGCATTCTTTGACAAATACTTCACCTGCACACCTTCTGCCCCAGTTATGCCAAGTATTTTTCTAGTCTCTCATCTGTAAACATGGTGGACCAAGAAAGGAATTATATCTGATTAACAAAGAAGTAGAAGAACAAACAAAGATTTCTGAGTAGGTAAGGAATTAACTTTTTAAAAAAGCGCTTTAAATTTTAGTGCTTTTGCAAAAAATATGACTTGGAGGCAATTCTGAAGTTTTGACATTTTACTCATAGATTAGGCATAGTTGTTTAGGGGCAACTAAACTGAAATGTAAAACAAAAAGAATTGTTCAATTATGCATCACAAAACCTGGGAAAACCTGGGAAACCAAATTTCCCACTTTTAACGCAAAGGGCAAGGGCTTCAAGTAGATGACACAGGCAGGAAAGTCTCAAAGCTCCTTCCCCAACTCCCCACTTCATTTCCTCATGCACACCACTGATAGTTTTTTAGCTAAGTCTTAGCTCTCCTAGCACACATATCCAGTACTCTACTGGACTGTTTATAAAGTCAGGCGTCTATTCCCAATAGTTTAAAGTAATGAAAAAGAAAGATACAAGAAAATACATTCAATAAGCAAAAATAAAAGTACTATAGAATCTGACATATTTCATGTTGTGAAAGTAATGGCTGAGATAATGTATAAGGGACATTAACAGTGAGTTAGCAACATAAAGAGATCAGACTGCTCTGCCTGTGCTTCCAGAATAACAGCAAGTTTTCTGGAGTTTTAACTCTCCATCTACTCCTCTTCAAGATTCTAACAGAGTTAAAGGTTCTTACTAAGTACCTGAGATTAGAGTCAGGTTGAACATGTTTAAAACACTTTAAATTATTTCAAAAGGGAGAAATGAGAACAAAAAAATCACCCAAGTTGAGAAATAAGAAATTATGAACAGAATGAAACTACTGGTAAACATACACTGTCAAAGTCAAAAGGAAAAGAGGAAAGGAGGGAGGGTGGGGAGAAGAAGAACCAGGAGAGAAGCCCTGGCTCTTCCCGTGAAGATTCCTTGTTTCCTGATTTAAGTACTATTAGATACCCTTCTGAGGGGCAGCACTGTTCATGCTAGTTTCCCAAGTACACCGAACAGTAATGATGACCAAATGGCAGGCAAATCCCAGTGAACACAGTAAAAAGTCGGTGATTTCTCTGTCATCCTTCCTTAGAGAGGGCACACAGTCTGGAGATGTGGCCAATTCTGCTGGCTGAGCCGGAAAAATCTGTGGTAGAAAATACCAAAAACGGCCCCCTACCCATTCTAGTGGAAAAAATATACAAAACCCCTCCCAAACCTAAACAAAACAAAACAAAAAACAACCCTCTCCCTCCTAAAGAAAACCACATTGGAAACATAACGCCCTGCAAGAAGTCCTATGTGTACATTTTCACAAGGCTGGTCGAGGTTATTTTGTTTTGGATTCCACATAAATTTTATCTCCATCCCTAATGCCAAAGGAATGCAGTGCCCGAGAGCTGTATTTCATTTCCTCTGGGCCAAAGGGGGCTTCGTGGTCAAAATAGTAGAGAAGCATGTTGCTTGTTGGTAATTGCACTAGAGCTTTTAATTGTTTCTTTAGTTCTGCAACTGTTTGGTCCAGACGAATGCTCATCTCTTCCACCTGATCGTTAAAGTGGACTTCTACTTTCGCACTGCTCTGGGGTCTTAGGTCCACTTCTGCCAAAGGCTCCAACTTCCCGTATTTTGTGATCAGTTCATGATACCTAGAAGGATTTTAAAAACAGTGTCAGTTCATACTACGAGCATATAAATTATGGACTTCTTCCAAACTGCATGTAAACTATACTCCTACTCTCAACATCTTTCTGATATCTTATTCTAATATTACATCTGTCTATCTATCTAATCTATCTCGTGACTCTTACAGATTCTGTGATCTAATAAGTTGTGACCCCTACTGAGTCCACAGGAAAACTACATCCTGTGTATAAGGAAATTGTTTCTACTGAAGATGGTTACCATGGCTGCTGTTGATATTATATAAGGATAGGCTTAGAAAAAAAATAGAACCTAGAAAAATAGATAATATAATCTCTCTGCAGAACTTGCTTTCTTGGGTGTTATCATCAAGAAGGGTAGGTATCTAAGGGCAGATGTCTAAGCACATGTACCTTGGGAATAGAAGGGAAGATGGAAGGAAGCCAGCAGTTTCTGAGGCCTGGAGAAGTCATAACTTATAGACAAAAACACGTATGTTAGCAATTAATCTAGCTCTTTCAGTGATGCCTTGTTTGAATGTTCCAACTCCATCTCAGCTGTAATAAAAGGAATTTACAGAAGAATCAAGGATACATTCTTGAGAAAAAAAAGTGGTAAATAAGGAATACATGTTCCTTGGTCAACAAAAGTGAATTATAGAGATGCAAATAGGGCCCACAAGGTCAAATTTTCTGTGTAAATCTTGTCTCCATTTTTTACTGAGGAAGCTTTGTAGTTCCTACACTCCAACTAGGAAAAAAATGCTGAAAAAAAATGCAATATTAGTTTTATTATAACCAAGACACACAAGATACATTAATAAAGGATTACAATATAAGTCACATAAGATTATTTCCTTATCTCCCCCACCCCACTTTTGGCTTTAATGTAGTTAAAAATCAGAATCATAAGGTGTGTAGCTACATTAAAAATATGGTAAGACATCTGTACTTAGAGATGAAGATAATCATTTCCATTAAAAAAATTTTTTTTATTTTAAAGATGTGGGGTACAATTCAGGGTTAGGCGTACAGAGGTTCATTATGCAGGTACCCTTGCTGACGAGGTGTGCCCCTCCTTCCCTGGCAGTTTCCCACTACTGCCAATCCCCTTCTCACAGTATTATGAAAATTGTTCAAGGTCTGCTTATGAGTAATACTCAGTTGTTTGTGATATTCAGTTCTTTGTTTCTGTGATAGATCACTCAGTATTGCAGACTCTAAGTCCATCCAAGTTGCTGTGAAAGTTCATAATTTTGTCCTTATTTATGGTTGCATAATATTCCATTGTGTATATGCAACACATTTTTTTTACCAAGTCTTCTTTCAATGGGCATCACTGTTGGCTGCATGATTTTGCTATTGTGAATATTGCTGCAATAAACGTGTGTGCAGGTATCTTTTTCATAAAGTGATTTGAGTTCCTCTGGGTATATTCCTAGTAGGGGGATTGCGAGGTTGTATGGAAGGTCAATTTTTAGATCTTTTAGGAATTGCCACACTGTTTTCCACAAAGACTATACTAGTTTACACTCCTACCAACAGTGTGGAAGTATTCCCTTTTCCCTACATCTTCTCCAGTATCTATTGTTTTTAGTTACTGATGGTGGCCATCCTGACTGGAGTCAGGTGGTATCTCAGTGTGGTTTTAATTTGCATTTCTTTGACGACTAGTGAGGCTGAGCATTTTTTCACATACCTGTTGGCTGCTTGTATGTCTTCTTTTGAGAAGTGTCTATTCATATCTTTTGCCCACTTTGTTATGCAGCTGTTTTTTTCTTTTCAGCACATTTGAGTTCCTTGTAGATCCTAGATGTTAGGCCTTTGTCAGATATACAGTTGGCAAGTAGTTTTTCCCAGTCTGATGGCTGTCTTCCCACTCCCTTGATGGTTTCCTTGGCTTTGCAGAAACTTGTCAGTTTGATGAGGTCCCATTTGTCTATCTTATCTCTTATGGCATGGGCTTTTGGGGTTTTGATCAGGAATTGGTTGCCAGTTCCAATTTCCACATAGGTGTTTCCTGCATTCTCTAAGGTTCTTATTTATGTTTAGGTCTTTGATTCATTCTGAGTTGATTTTTGTATATGGTGATAGGTAGGGGTCTTGTTTTAATCTTCTGCATGTGGTCAGCTAATTTTCCCAGTACCACTTACTGAATAGGTCCTCCTCTCCCCACTGGTTGTTGGTGGAGGCTTTGTTGAAGATGAGTTGGTTGAGAAACTGAGTTTTTGCTTCTAGAATCTCAATCCCATTCCACTGGTCTATATGCCTGTTCTTGTACCAAAACCAGGCTGTTTTGATTACTGTAGCTTTATAATAAAGTTTAAAGTCTGGGAGTATGATACTTCCCTTTTTTTTTTTTCTTTTGTTGAGGATTGTTTTAGCTATTCATGGTCATTTATGTTTCCATATGAATTCCTGTATTGTCGTTTCCAAGTCTGAGAAGAATGCTCATGGTAATTTAACAGGTATTGTGTTAAATCTGTAGATTGTTTTGGGTGTACAGCTTAACAATGTTGATTCTTCTAATCCATGAGCATGGAATATTTTCCCATTTGCTTGTTTCATCTTTGATTTCTCTGAGCAGTGTTTTGTAGTTTTCGTTGTAAAGGTCTTTCACTTCTCTGGCTAGGAAGATGCCAAAGTATTTCATTTTTTTGTTGCTATGGTGAATGGGATTGTGCTTTTTATTTGGGTTTCTGTTTGCTTATTGTTGGTGTATAGAAATGTGACTGTCTTTTTCACATTTATTTTATACCCTGAGACTTCGCCAAAATCCCTTATCAGTGCAAGGAGGTTTTGGACAGATTCTCTTGGGGTTTTAAGGTATAGAAACATGTTGTCTACAAAGAGGAATAACTCAAGTTCCTCTCTTCTTATTCGGATACCCCTGATTTCCTTCTCTTGTCTGATTGCTCTAGCTAGGACTTTCAATACTATGTTGAACAGGAGGGGTAAGAGTTGGCATCCTTGTCTTGTTCTGGTTTTCAGCGGAAATGGCTCCGATTTCTGTCTTTTTAGCAGTATGTTGGCTGTGGTGATAGGTAGGGGTCTTGTTTTAATCTTCTGCATGTGGTCAGCTAATTTTTCCAGCACTATTTACTAAATAGGTCCTCCTCTCCCCACTGGTTGTTGGAGGCTTTGTTGAAGATGAGTTGTTGAGAAATTGAATTTTTGCTTCTGGAATCTCAATCTCATTCCATTGGCTCTAGCTATTTTGAGGTATGTTCCATCTACCTGAGATGCACGAGGGTTTTTATCAAGAAGGGGCGCTGGATTTTATAAAAAGCTTTTTCCACATCCAATGTTATAATCATGTGGTTTTTATCTTTATATCTGTTGATGTATTTAATTACACTTATGGTCTTGTGGATGTTGAACCAGTCCTGCAACCTGGAAGCCTACTTGGTCTTGGTGGATGATTTTTGAGATATGTCATTAGATCTGATTTGCTAGAGTCTTGTTGAGAATTTTAGCATCAATGTTCATCAAGGATACTGACCTATAGTTCTCTTTCTTTGTTGGATCTTTACCCAGTTTGGGTATCAATTGATGTTAACTTCATAAAGTGATTTCGGGAGAGTTTCATCTTTCTCGATTGCCTGGAATATTTTCAATAGGATTGGTATCAGCTCCTCCTTGAATGTTTTGTAGAATTCTGCTGGAAAGTCCTCTGGTCCAGGGATTTTTTTGTGTAGATAGATTTTTTTTATGACATAGTTGATTTTCTGGGTTGTTATTGGTCTATTTAGGGTCTCAATTTCTTCAGGTTTCAGCCTGGGGAGGCATATTAAAAATAACACTGGGCCAGGTGCTGTGGTTCACACCTTAATCACAGCAGGAGGATTGCTTGAGGCCAGGAGTTCAAGACCAACTGGGCCACACAGTGAGACCCCATCTCAACTAAAAACAGTCGGGCATGATGGTGTTTGCCTGTAGTCCTAGCTGCTTGGGAGGCTGAGGCAGGAGGGTCACCTGCTCAGGAATTTGAGATTGTAGTGAGCTATGATCACACCACTGCATGACTGACAAAGTGAGAAAGTGAGACCCTGTCTCAAAAAAAAAAAAAAGCACTGGCTCTGACTTCAGGGTTTTGATAGCATCTTATAACTATCTGTGTGATTTGGCAACTTAATCCTTTTGGATCTCAATTTCCTCATTAGCAAAATTAGAATAATGAGTTCTTGCCTTCCTACCTTATAAGACAGTCATAAGAATTAAATAAAATAACAGATGAGTCAACACTCTGTAAATCCTATGTTCATATACAAATAAAAATATCAATGTTGTAGTCCTGCTGCTCTGAAGCTTACAGTATTAACACACACACAATCCCCTTAGAAAATATAATATTGAAACCTACTTCAGTGGAACTTCTTAGAAAAGGCATTGGAATGATGAAACATATTACAAAATCTTCTCCCAGGACTTGAGCCAAAAATAGTATTTTAATGGGTAAAAATAGTCACCAGCAGCAACTAACGAAAGAAGAGATGGCACGACCTCATTGCCATAACCTTCTAAAGGGAAGCAAAAGCTCTGTACTATGTGGTTCAGCTAAGTAAGAATCCTGACCCAACACCTAGAAACCATTAGGAAAATAAAGAGACAAACCCCGAGCATACTAGTAATTTCTAATTGAGAGAAAAGTAGACTAAGGGGGTTAAGAGTCAACTGGATTAAGAAAATGTCAGGGTAAAGAAAAACAAGGCTGGAGAAAAAAATCTTGGCAACCAGAAGCCTCTATATCCCACTACCAGTATGCCAGGATTTTACAAAGTCAAAATTTTAAAAAAGCAAAACAAAAAGCCACCAGGACTTGAAACGTTCCAAAGTTCCAAACTGAAAAGGAGAAATGATTCAAAATCTAAGGGTGTCATTTCCCCACTCCATCACCTATTATCTGGTTTCAAATAAGTAAAACCAGGTTACAATCAATTAACAAAACCTTAGAAAAGGCAGCAGAACCCTGGTGGTCAAATAAGAACTGAACCTAACTCCAGAGA